ACAAATCGCAAGTATATGAAAATAGATTCACTTTGACTGTTCAAAATATTTGCAGATAGGCTTGTTGACATGTTATCATTAATTAATACGCAATTATAGATTGTAAAATAATCGTCAGAACTTTGAGTTTTTATCAGTTTTCTTCATAATTTAGTGAGATGAGAAAGAGACTTGCTAGTTTTTATTCTCAAACAGTGCAGTTTAAAAATCTTTTACCCATTCTCATAACCATTTTAACAATAGCCGACTGCCCTGTATAGTTCTTGAGCCTTGTTTTGGGGTTAACTACAATATAAATAAAAAATTCAAGTTCGGTTCAACTGAAGGGATTTAAGGATACATTTAGGAATAAATGGATTCTTGATATTTTCTTGGAACTTTCACATCTCAGATTTTCTAAAAATGGTTAACATCAGTTTATATAATTTTATCTGTCATTAATTTAAACAAATCTCCTGCCCCTTTTTATTTTGATTAGAAGTTTTGAATAAAGAAATGTAATTTACATCCATGCATGTGAGTTTATCTTGTATTAAATAAAAGTAACAATGCGTGTGTGTGTGTGTCTGTGTTTAAATTGATATCAGATCAGTATATCATATTTTATATATAAAACTTATCATTTCTTCTGAAAGATGGTTCTTTCCATCCCCCCCCCGTTTTTATCTGAAACTGAATAGAATAATAAGTTGTATTAGAAACCAGCCTCTCTAATAACTGATTAAAAAGAAAGAAAAAAAAAAAAAAACTTTCATCAACCTGTACTCGAAATTCTCACTGATAATTCTGAGTACAGGTAAGCTATACCCAAAACAACTACAACTCAAAACCTTTATCTGGCTTTAAATAAACCTAAGGGCCATTAAGCAGAAAAGAAACAAAACCAAAGGAAGGTTATTTTAAGCGATAAACCAGTTTTCTTGAAAGCTGCAAATTCTTCGGTTATTAACTGAAATATTTATTCTTCTAAATTCAACTTTATAAAAATAATTTTACAACAGTAAATCTGACCCCCCCAAATTCCCTCAGTAATTTCCTATCAGTCTTGTTTGAATGATGCGTTGTGTATCCATATTTATCTTTAGGGACCCTATGTGTACATGCACATTTTATATATATCCAACAGAGTGGCAAAAATTTCTCAGCGTCACTAGTTTCTCCAAATCAGTTTTAAGTTAGTTGGTCAGTGAAATTCTGTCTTGGGAACTGGACTGGATTGAACATTTTTCAGCACCCACTTGTAACTTTCATTATTCATATATTTATTCTTATTTATTTTTTTTATTTCTTCAAGGGCAGATCAGTTAAGTCCGTAGCAGAATTTTGATCTAAAATGTTCACTGTATAAGCAATAATGATATGCAGATATTTGATTAATATTCACAACTAAATTAAGTGCATTGACAAAAAGGAAATTACCAAATTTTTTTATTTTTTTTTTTTTTATGAATATTTTTGATACAGACAAAGTACAAGGCAGTTGTTCTGTTTCTTGCAAAAGAATGTTCTTTAATGCTTTCATAGTTCTATATTTTACCAATTTACAAAATCATTATTCTTGTCTCAGATTTCTATTTTGGGTTCTTGCTAAGCTATCTATAGCTTCATGTTAAAAGCTGATTTTTTTCCAACAATTAGTTTTATCACGGAATATTTCTTTTACAAGTTTTTACAAATGTCTTTGGATTTCTCACCCCATGTATGAAATATAAGTGTCTGAAGAAATAAAAAAAATTTTTAGCCAATTCAATAATTTTTTTTTTTTTTTTTTTTATCTTTTTTCTTGAGACGACAGATGGAGTATATATGCCAGTCTTTTATTTTAGAAGTAATTTCTTTGTTTTCGTTTTTCTTAACAATAAAATTAGTATTAACTGAGCAGTGTTAGTAAAATTTTCAGGATATATTTATATGAGCATGATATCGTGTGAGTTTCAGTTTATAATATCTGTTTAAAGTTTAACATGGAGATGTTGAAAATTACTGTTGAAAAAAATATGGTGTAAGTTCTGATATGGATTGAAAAGATCAGATGGTAAAGCAAAATTACAAATAAAAACAAAATGAAGCATTCTAAAAATAATCTTTATCTGTCATCTGATAGTAATTCTTTATTCCTTAAAATTACCTGGAATAACTTAAGTTAACATGCTATCTTCTATAGCCAGAGAGTGAAGACAAGCACAACTCAAATAGCACTGGCTGCTCGGTCAAGGAATGCCAAATGTTTTCTTATAAGAGAAATTTCATTGGCACCATTGGCAAAATTTTCAGCATTAACTTCACAGAGTTTCATCTTATATTATCTCTCCTGTAATTTCTTTTGGGGGTTGTCTGGTTTTATTATGCAAACAAATTAACTGAAACAAATGCATATTTCTAAATAAATCCAAAAGATGTAAGTCATAGAAATATATATTTGATTAAGACAATATCCCATAGACCAGAACTATCTTCTGTCTTTCACGATTGGATTTTATGAACTTTTCTTTTTATTTTGACTAAGTTTATTTTTTAGCAGTTATTTTTTTCACCAAGCTCTCCTTTCATATTAGGCAATCTGGAAATCTATTTGATAGTAACCATTAAACATTTATTTTTTCTACAAGGCATCGGAGAACAATTTACTATTAAATTAATTTCAGTTAATAATAGCAATTCCTTAATAAAGCTATTGATAATAATTTTTTTTTGTGAATGATAGGTTTATTATGCAAACAAATTAAGTAAAAAAAAAAATAAATTCAAAAGATGTAAGCCATAGAAACATGTATTTGATTAAGACAATATCCGGAACTATCTTCTGTCTTTCACCGATGTATATTGTGGAAGTTTCAGTTTGTTTGCGGATCCCTTTCAGTTTATAATATCTATCATTAATTATTAAATGATATCAAAGCATTTATTTTTAACTAACTTTATTTGAAAAGATCATTTAGAATTATCAATTTTATTCATTTTTTATTTCTTAAATTAAATTTAGTAAAAACATGTTTCAGATATGTTATCTCTCCCCTCTATACACACACACACACACTATATATATATATATATATATATATATATATATATATTATATATATTTGGGCATCAAACTTTCTTTCAAACATGTTTCGTTGAATATGACAAACAAGGAAAATTCTATTTTATTTTAGTTTTTAGTTTTTCTAGTATTCTTATCTCTTTACATTTGGTGGGAAGAAAGAGAATGTGAAAATTGTCTATATATTGCCCATAGCATTTTTGGCCACTTCTTTAGCTATTTTCAGGAGTTTTGTCATTAATTATTGTTAATTTCTTTTCCTAGTTGTCTTTAAAGCTTTAATTATGATGCATATTGTATGATAGTAGCACTGAGCCCCACAAAAAGAACGTGGCTGAAATTCAAGTTACCATCGTTTTATTTTAAAAAACCTTTAATACATTATCTGTCTATATTTCTGATATGAGGTATTATGTACACTATTTACATTATTCAGATTATTGTCCTCCTCTTTGTTGCCATATTTATCACAATGTTTCAGCTTTGTACGCTCCAGCCTTCTTCAGGTGGTTGGAATATTGAGCTGAACCCTTTATTTCACCACTTTAATACATTGTTTCCCTTGTTTTATATATAAACTGGAAACTTTAATAGTGATTAATCCCATATATATATATATATATATATATATATATATATATATATATATATATATATATAATAGGATTAATCCCACATACATACATATATATATATATATATATATATATATAATATGGGATTAATCCCTATTAAAGTTTCCAGCTTATTCCTGTTATTATCTGAGCAAGAAAAGAAAGTACACGGTCAGATTTTATTATATAAGTCAATGGTTTCATAATAAAATTGGTATTAAACAATAGTTGTTGGTAAAATTTTCAGTTTATACTTATATTTATGGAAGCAAAATATTTTTAAAGTTTCAGCTTATAATATAAATTGCAGCATAAATGTTTATTCATAAATAAATCCAAAAGATATAAGCCATGGAAATATTTAATTGATTAACAAAGTATCCTATATACGTGAATAAATTATTTCATTACTTTGAATTTTATAAGTATTTATTCAAAAACTTTCATCAGTCTCCCAGAAATTAATTTTCTTAATTTTTTTTTTTTTTTTTTTTTTTCAACTTTATTCAGCTTTAAAACTATTTAAGTTTTTTTTTTTTTTTTTTTTTCTAATTGCTTCCAAAGAACATCTTTGCTTGAATATTGTTTTCCATTCTCATATACAGTTCTTTTTAAGTTTTCTATTGGATTAATATCTGGAGAAGCTGGAAGCCATTCTATTAATGTGAAGCCTTTAAAAGCTTTTTGGCAAGATGAACTTTACAGAAAGTCTTGCAGGAATATCCTCTTTAGCTTATAACTTCTTGCCTGTGACCTGTATCACTCAAAATAGTCATTGTCCAAGAAATTACAATTTTCTGCATTTATTTGATACTGCCATCAATTTTGAAGGGACTTAAAATCTTACTGCCTATAACACTAGCTTAAAAAATTAACCCCTAACCCAAACTGTTACACTGTTGACTTTTTATATAGGTACATCTATCATCCAGTTCACACTCCTCCCAGGACATTTGGACAGGAGTAGAAGTTTATCCCTTGTTTATTGTTTAGAATTGCATTTATGCTCATTCTAAAGTCTTCCCATTCTCTTTCACTGCTCATAGCCACCTGCGTCTTAGTGGCATTATTGCCTTGTTTGAGGTGACTTCATAAAAAAAAAAAAACAATGAAAAAAAAGTCATGTTGCTTGACTGTTTTTAGGAAGAATCCAGCCTCTAGCCCAGGTCTGTCATTTTCTACATTCATTACTAAAAAGTACAGGTGAAAAATTATATATATATTTTTTTTTGCACTCCTTTTAGTGAACTCTTTATTTCTCTTTGTGATGTGTTGACTTACGGGTGGTAATTGGATTGCTTTCATGTCTCTAGCCAATGTTCTTAGGCTTATGGACTCATCACATGGAAATATGGGTTCCCATATGAATACCAAAGTTAAGCAACATTGAGCCTGGCCAGTACCTAGATGGATGACCGTTTGAGAATACCAAGTGCTGTAAGCTTCCATACATAGGTGATATAATGGATAGTGGCTCATAATTGTTAAGCGGAGAGCCAAGTTCCAATTCCCATTGGGTTTGTTATATTCACTTACATGCAAATACCCGAGGTTTACCTATCCTCACATCCCTCTCCAGTCTTTTGAACAGGAGTAAATGTTTATCTTTCGTTTCCTGTTTTGGATTGCATGTCTGGTTTCTTCTAAAGTCTTCTCATTCTCTTTCACTCTCTTTGCATCTTAGTGGCATTATCTCCTTGCTTGGGATGAATTGATTAAAAAAAAAAAAACTAATGTTCTTAATTTTTCTGTTAAGAATAATTTTCATTAGACAATGTCAAAAAAATTTGTTTAGAATTATCTACCTCACATCATAACTAAATTTTCTGTTTATCATTTTTTTTAAAAATTCTCTCTTGTATGGGCTCCATAGATATTCCAGACAATAATTTTTACAATCCAAATCCTAATCCCAGGCCTTCTGACTCCTGTTTGAGGCACCCTCCCTGACTGACCATGCCTTCAGTGTGTTTCGCTGTACTCACTCTGCTTGACCAATTATGGTTTGGTTTTATTATATTCACTTGCGTTCATATACACTTGAGAAGGTATAAATCTTTCTCCTCTCCTCAGCTATGGTTTAAATAGTAGAACTTGTATCTGAAAAGATCGTTGTTATTTTTAAAAAAGTTATTGATGCAATATCTGCTTGAAAAAAAGAAAAATATTCCAGTTGTTTGTTACACTCACTTTCCTTTGGGGAAAGGCATGAATCCACCTCTTCCCTCCCAGCTATGGGTTAATTAGTAAGACTTGTATCACTAAATCATCTTCAAAAAAAAATATTAAAGTAAAAATTTTTTTACAAATCTGGCTTTAAATAACCTGCAATGGGTTGATAAGCCATAAAAAAATGAATCCAACCAGTGTCCTTAACATTCTCATTTTTTTCTTTATTTGGTTTACATTCACAACCCCAGACAGTCTAATCTGATTTTCTTGCTGGTCAAGCCACTTTTTTTTTTTTTTTTTTTGCTTGCCTTCTCAATTTTCCCCCAAATCTTTTTGCGACATTCTTTAAGCCATTTTATTTTGTTCTTGTTCTAATCTTTCCAAAATTTACATTTGTTTTTAATTTTTTTTTATTCTGTGATTTCTCTCCAAGTTTTTCACCCTTTTTCAACAATGTGTTTCTATCACTCAGTAATTTTGATATCTTCTTTCTCTTTTGATGATATGCTTTTTCTACAACCCGTGGCACTCTTTACGTATCTGAAATTAAAATTAAATATAATAAATATCTATAATGTTTTATTTATTTACAATTTAATGAACAACATTGGAGTTACATAAAATGTCACATGACCAAATAATTGTTGTAAATATTTCTAATTTGTATCCAGGTTCTTACAACATTTCACTTTTCATACCATATCTTCTTTTATCAAAATGCACAATACATAATAAATAAAAAAATAAACTAAAACAAATTCAATTGAATTTGTTAGATTATATACCGAAACACATACTTAAAAAAAAAAAAAAATTAAAAGTTTAAAATTTCAGTATCCCCTGCCTCTCTGCGCATATAAAGTCATATCAACGCAAACATTACTTTATTCTAAAGTCTGAAAAGATAAAACATGTCATTCAATAAATGATTTCCTACTTTATTAATTTTCCGAACCTTTTTCTGGTATATAAAAAAAAAAAATGATGTATCTTTTTCTCCCAAGTATTTATTCCAAAAACAGACACTATAATCTGAAATTCACAAAATATATTTCTTATATAAATATAAGTATATACTGAGAATTTTATTAGTGTTTATTGGTTAATACCAGTTTTATCATAAAAACCATGATTTGCATAATAAATTCAGAGATAATGTAAATTTTCTCCCAATTCATTATAAAGTTAAAAAATTCATAAAAGTAACTCTGGTTAATTTTTAAAAAATTAAACTTTTTTTTTAAACTATAAATAAAAAACCAAAACTAAGGGCACTTCAACGTAGTGTAATGGTTAACAAGCTTGTCTCACTAGATCAATTACGATGGAGTAGGGAATTCTGTCCTCACAGGGTGCTCCACACTTTTGATCTTGAGCCACATCTAAGCTACACTTAGTAAATCAATAAAAATTAACTTCTGAATTATTTATATTCAGAATAATTTGTTTTTATTTTCCCAATGTTTCGGCTGTTGTGCTCTCTGGATGACATCTTTATCCAAATTTTAGCATTTTTATTCTGAATATTTTGAGGACTGTTATCTTTGTTTTCAACATAATATTTTTACCATTCTTTGACTTTCTAGTACTATCAAATTCTTCAATTAAAAATGTTCCTTGTTCTGTAACTTTTGGAGACTAATGTTTTCTTTTTTTTATTGTTTAATGTGAAATTTTCAGCTGAGATGTCCTTCATTTTTCTAGTATCGTGCTGAAGCAGTTTTTTTTTTTTTTTTTTTTTTTTTATACAATTTGTTCCTTATTTTTATTTTTAACCTAATATTGCAGTCGATAGATCCTTTGGCATGTGTCAGGTATTCTTAATGTCTTTAAACTGAATCAAGAAGTGAAAATGATAACAAAAATGAAGATAATTACATAAATAGTTTTCTTTAATGCCATATCCCTTCATGATGTAGACAATCATGGCTCTCCACAGACTCCTTTTTCTTTTATTATTTGGGAATTATGATAACTTTTTAGAAAAGATAGTGTTGCCTTTTCCATTGTTTTGAATTCATAGTAGTCTATCTTTTACAATGGTTTCCAGTCAACGTTAAATTGCCCAGTCTGTCTTAATATTCTACCTATGGCTGAGGCAAGAACAAATGGGTTCATGCCTTTCCCAAGGGTATTAGTGCAAAAGTGAATGGAACAGACAAGACTGGAATTTGAACTCTGTTCTCCAATTCCATATTTTCTACTGATAACCATTATACTAATCACACATCCACCATATTCAGCTGAAAGTCCTCTCTTGTTATTTTCAGGGTTATTTCTAACAATTATCATATTTATTACTAGAATGTTTGTTGTTTTGTTTTTGTCACATGCATTTCCAGAAGAGAGAATCTTTTCTAACCTTTTAAGTTTTACAGTTTATGAAAATGAAATCTTTATAGAGATTACTAGTTTTGTTATTGCTGTTGATAGTGTATAAAGCAAAGTTCAGTTAATGTTTTCTTCAAAATAAGTTATATATTCTGTTTTGCAAAGGTTCAGAATAAATAGCTGCTACTAGTATTCAAAACAAAAATCAAATACATCTTAAACAGTCAGAACATGAAGAGAAACACCTAAAACAAACTCCCTTGAAAATGGCTAAAGTGGCCAAAAGCACTTGTGACAATGAACAATTTTTGTCCACCTTTACTCCTACCAAAAGAAAAAATGTAAGAATGCTGGGAAAAAAAATATTTTCCTTGTTTGTCATATTTAACAAAACATGTTTAAAAGAAGCATTTATTTTTTATATATATATAAATTTACACGATACGCCAAGAATTTAGGGCCAGCCCCTGGATTTTGAAGAATTGCTGAAAAATAGAAGGTTGTGTACCTTCTTCAGAACTGATTCACTAGCTTACTTCATGCCAGAGGGACTTTGTTTTTCTGTAAGGTTTTTCATTATTTATTTTATTATAATTGAATTAACTCCTTGCTCCATAAAGTTTCTATAAAATTTTAGCTCTTTTTTTTCCTTACTGGGAAACGGCAATCTTAAGGCTTGCAGATTTTTGGTACCCTTCCAGCATCCGAGCTTAATAGGAGTTAATTAAACCAAAGACGGTATGACACTTATTAATTATTAAATTCAGAGGCTGTCCTGAACATTTTGGCCTAGTGTGTGTGTGTATGAAGGGAAAGATGATTCTCCACAAAGAATACATTGGAGAAGCATCAAGAAATTTAAATAAAAGTTTATATGAACACAAAAGGGATATTTTACAAAACAACACATTAGTTGATCACTGTAACGAGACTAACCACTATTTTGATTTAAAAATGCTACTCTAATTAAGAGAAAACAATTCACGAAAATGTTTAGAAAGTGCTTTAATCACAAGATCGACAATAAATTGGCATCCAGGTTCTTACAACAATTCACCACTTTTGGCAGTTCTTCTGTTATTCATATGGATTATTTAATAACAAGAGTGATGAAATCAGCTAGATTATATACTCCAAACACTCTCACACACGTGTGTGTGTGTGTGTGTATATATATATATATATATATATATATATATATATATATATATATAATATCATGATGGAGGTGTGTGTATATTTTCTAATTTAAAATACTCGGTGTCTCTCATTCATGTGCCTATATAGCCACATCAGCATAAACAAAATTAGTCCAATAAAATCCTAAAGGACAAAACACATCACTTGAAAGCTTTTTCCAATTTGTCATACATCATTCCACCTAATTTGTTCTTGATATATGAAAATTTATCCTATATATATATATATATATATATATATATATATCTTTTTTTTTTTTAATTCAATTGTAGGGTCAATTCTCTTTATTAATGAGATCTAGTAATTAAGCATTAATGTGGAGATATGTTACTAAGGTGTTATCTATATAATGAAAGACTTCAGTATTTTTGGGTAAGGTGTTTTTAAAAGGTAATGTTATTTATAGTGAAAAAAAATAAAATCTCCATTAAATAACATGAGTGTTTATGAAAAAGATCTGATGAACCCAAATTCAATTATCTAATCAAAAACTAAGAAGAAAAAAAAACATTGGTAGTGATTTAATAAAATATCATCCTATGACACAAGTTATATATATATATATATATATATATATATATATATAATTCCTGTACAAGGGTTATCTTTACAATGGGGTGATCTTGTCTGTTTTAAACAAGAAAAATTAAATTTTAACTTTTACTTTGTTTTGAAAATCAAAATCACTGATATGATATGCAACTATTTCAGCTAACTTTTCTTTTTAATTTGTTTTAAA